TGATCCAGGTAACAGATGCAGCTGCTGAAGGGGGCAGTTCTCGCAGGCCCCACCCATGGAGGGCACCACAGGGATTGGAGAAGACGTTTTGGGGAAGATCGGCGGCAGAGTGATAGGAGCATAGGACCGGGGATTGAGACTAGAGAGGGTGGGACAGACCATCGCCCTTTAGTTTCTGCGGTGATCCCCACTGATGTATCGTGCTTGGAGTCCCAAACATAAGCGTCCCACGGGTGACCTATGATGACCGCACTTTCTTGCTTCCAGCGTGAGCTTCAGGCCTCAGCCAGCTGGGCCGGTGGCTCCCTGTAACCCTCTGGGCCCAAGCTCAGTTCCATAGACCCTAGGAGCCTGCTGTGGGTTTTCATTCTTTGGATGATGTGTCCAAAGTGTGTGCATAAACCCCCCCTTCTGAGGCGGCAGGAGGTGGGACTCTGAGGGTTCTAGCCCTGCAGGATGGCAGGACCCAGGTCAGCAGAAACAGAGAGTTGCAGAGAGTTGACCTCTCCAAACCCCTCAGGGATGTCAGATCTCCAGTCCAACCATTTATTCCCAGAGACACGGAAACCACACTTCCACACGTTCCCGAGCAGTAGTCATCTGGCTTGCAGACACAGCATGCACAGAGCAGCTTGTGCTGCAGATGGGTGCTCCAACCCGTTCAGAGCCTACTCTGCCCACTAAAGTCGTCACAGGCTACTCCAGCTGTTCCTCTGGGAGCTCTGGCTCTGCCAGTCTCTTCCTGTGTGCCCTTGGGCCACTCCCTTGATTTCTCTCTGCCTCATTTTCCTCATCTTAGAAATAGTGGCAACCAACGTTGTGGCTGTAGGTAGCGCAGAGGGGTTCACGTGAGCTGCGACAGGTACTCCCACGGTCTAGGCAGAGATGTAATACCTCGTGCCTTCTCCTGTTCTTCCTGTGGCCTCTGAAAACAGGAAGAGGCCTCTTCCCCAAATGCTTTTTCATACACAAAATACACGGTGCTCGATGAGGGCGGGAACGAGGACTCATACTGAATGAGTGCTTGGGTGTCCCGTCCTCCGCACATCACGTCTGAGGATGCTACTCTCAGGGAGGCACTAGTGTTACTCAGCTGTGCAGACGTGGAACCAGTTGCCATCGTTCGCATGTTGGTTTGTCCCCGAGGAGATGAAGCCCACCTATTCACAAGCAGAAGGCTGTCGTCTAGAGAGCCCAAGAGGGCAGGTTGTTGTAAATGGAAGATGGCTGGCCCAGGCCTCAGTCCTCAAGCCCTGCGTCTTCTCGGATTCTGCAGGCCGAGTTGTTTCCAGGTCTTCCTGATACAAGCCCCAAAACTTGGAACCTTCCAGCCCCCACAGTCGTGATACTAACCGGTCTGTATTCTTCATTCATCTCCCAATCTCAGATATTTCTGTGGGCAACGTCATAGCAGATTGATCCTCTCAGGTACAGTGAGGTGAAGTCATCTGCCTCAGGTCACACGGCTGGTGAGATGGGAGTGGGGAACGGCACCCAGATGATCTGTTCTCAGAGCCTGTTCTTCTCCCCCCTATGGTGCCCTGCTCCTTAGAGAGGAAGAAAAGAGATGAAGAAAGAGAAAACCTCCACAGCGCCCATCACGCAGTCTCCTGTTGGACATCTGTTAAGTCATTTTCCTAGCGTGTGTATGTAGACACAGAATTAGAGCAAGGCCTCCATGTGCAAAGACATGTCCGGTACGTTCCAGTTATTTTAGTGTGAGCAGAAGGGGACTGGCAGATGGCGTGAAGCGTATGTCCATGGACTCCCCCCATAGTCTCTAGTTGTTTGAGTCCCAGACCTGGTGGCTTCAGTGCGAGATTTGTGGTACTGCTCTTATCATTGTGGCTCTGTAAGTCACACTCCTAATCAGTAAGTGCTGTGTGTTTCTGACTGGTCTACTGGCGGCCGTTTCCACCTCTTCTTATTCTTTCTGTATCCTTCACACAGGAAAACAGGAAAAGTAGGCCTGGGTCCAGCACTTGGCGTAACGACTATGTCACTGGGCTCTCACATACTTGACCGCAGTTCGAGTCCCGCACCCGGTGGCTTAAACTCAGGCAGGCCATGTGTACATGCGTGCCCAGTATCCCAAGAGGAGAGTGGAGGAGAAGGGATTGCAGCGTGGCCGTGCCCCGGGGGGAGGGGGTGATGTCTCACATTCTCTCAGTCTCTCTCTTTCTGGTGAGGGCACGCCCATTATAACAAGAAGCCTCTCAAGAAATGATCTGACATTGACAGGAGGCTTATTCATAACCCTGCAGTGCCACCAAGCATCCAGGAGAAAGGACGGGTCACACTTCTTTCACTCTAAATCAACATATAGGAGTGTTTCAGGTTAGCAAGGAAAGCACTTGAAGGCTCACAGAAGCCAGAGGCCGGGCCTCACTGACCTTTAAAGGCTAGCCACATCCTGAGAGCAAAATGAAATCTCTTAAAGGAAAGAAAAGTGCTACTCCAGAGCTGGTTCCCTTGTGTACGGCTAACGTGCCACTCAAGAGAAGCCAGATCCCACCTGGTGCCTGAGGTTTGAATGCCTGGCTCGGTTAGCTGTGTATAGATGTGCCCAAGATTCAATGGGCTGGATACTTCAAGGGGATTGGAGCATGATCAGACCCTGTAGATGCGCTCGCTCTCGCACTCTCTCTCTCTCTCATACATGCACAAGTTCTGTCATATATAGGAGGGTAAAACAGCGCTACTCTGTGATCACAGCATTAGATAGATCACAGAGCAGCCTCTTGCTGACAGGGTATAAGTTTCAGTGCTCTGGACAAAAGATCAAAGTTGTGTCTGTGGGTGAACTCAACATTAGGTTTTCAATATATTGTATATACACCTTGGGGAGAGTGAGAGAGAAAAAAAAAGTGAGAAATCACCTTCCAGGGAGGGCTTGTGGTCGTGCCACTAGGCCTTCAGCTCCATTCTGCTCTCAGGAGTTTAGGAACACACAAGCACAGGCCTAGCGTGGTTTTGGAGCTGCTGGTTCCGAGGCTCAAGCCACAGAGTCAGCCATGAGAGATGTAGGTATCTTAACTCCCAGGCTACTGGCTGGCCAGTAACAGGTTTTCAGTGTAGACAAGTCTGCCTCTTTTGGAAGAAGAGGCCATGTAGACCCTGAAACCAGAGAGAAGTCGCCGCCTACCTTCAAAGTTCCGGAAGACAGACTGACACTCCCATCAGGGCTCATAGAGCTGGAAGCCTGAGGTTAGCACCAGTGTTCACTTACTGCAAAAAGGAACCTGTGATTCTTAATACTTCCCCTCAGTCTGTTTAGCCTGTGCCGCACAGATGGAACCTCAGAGCCCAGAAGACAGCATATGTGTATGTAGGATAAGAGACTGAACAGTGTTAATTCTACCGCTGAAAACTAGTGAGCAGGAAAGAAAGAACCCTTAGTACAAACTAGTGCTCCTTGACAATGGATCAGGAATCCAGATCTCTGATACAGCCATACAAGGAGATTTGCATTGTTTCCGTGACTACTGACACCTCATACATTTTGGGGCCCATGGACTGAGGAGTCATTTGCACTTCCAAGACTTGTTACTTGAGAAAGGCATTAAACGTGGTAGTTGCCATAGAAGGTGATCTGATCTGATGCAACCAGGCAAAGCAGCTCAAAAGCTTTCTGACCTGAGTCAGCATTCCAGTGGAATTGGAGAACAACTGTGCTTTAGGGGACGAGGTCTAAATGTCAAGATACCTAGATGGAAGGCCCTCTGCAGCCTTTCTGATAGGAACATGGCTTCCAGAAGCTAGGAAAACAGGCATGTCAACAAGAAATAAGGTGCAGATGCCAAAACTGTGATGGAGCCAGAAATGGAGACATGTGATTCTCCTTGTCTCTTGATAACATCTCTGCGTCTTTCTCAGATTCGCTGCTTGGGGGTGTGCGTGCATGCGTGTTAGTTTGTACATCAGACCAGATTGTCCAGAATGGCTGAAACCCATGGTCTGCACGGTTTCTTGCCTCCCATCTACAGGCCAAAGCAGGCCAAGATGTCCACCAGAAAACCTCGGGTCTCCACCCTCTTCATGCAGTTCGAAGCTAAAAAGGATGAAGGTGCTGGCTTAGGCCCTGCCACAGCAGCAGGTAGCTGCCCAGCTGCCTGGCACGTCGGAATAACTACATGTTGGAATTGTCAGTGTCATTCGTCACTTCCCTTGTGTTGCATCCTTCCCAGCTCGGCCCAGACTCTCCCACCTGGTGGCCAGGGGGGTTGGCCACCCAGGCATGGACCATGGGCCTCCGCCCCTTTCTCTGGTGTGCTGGGCAAATGGCCCGCTAGAACATCACCGTACTAGGCACCGATGATTCATCTCCCACAGTGCCGTTGTAGAGGCCTAGGAGAGAGGCACTTTGTTGTGTTTTGTATCACAGAGGGACAGTTACAAGGCTCCCCAGATCCCCAGCTCCCCGGTACCATTCAGGTCCTGAAAATATGCCTCCTGTGGAACAGGGCTCCCTGCCGTATGAGTGCCTCGGCTGGGTCTTCAGCTCAGAGGCACTGGACTCCTCATGCACAGGGGAGCTCCAAGGGCAGTCTCCTTTACCTGGTCTTGATGAGGCCATGTGGTGTGGACTGGCATTCCACTTGGCGGATTTGGAGACGGAGGGCGGAATGGCAGTGCCTTTGCAAGGTCAGCTGGTCTGTCAGTCCTCAGAGTTTGCATGCCTAGCCATTCCTAGGCACTCCCTCAGCCCAGGCAGGGTTCCTGATACTCCTCCCCATTCTTTGCCTTCACCTGGTCAGAGAGACGCACCTGTTTTCTCCTGCTTGTGCCAGCAAGGGCCCAGCCAGCATCCCTTTGGAGGACTAATGGCTGAGTTTTAGGGGCTGTTTTCACATCCCGAGTTTGGCAGTGGGGGCACAGCATACTGCATACATTGGAGTCTGAGTGGCACACTACAAAATGACCCAAAACCTAACATTTCATTGAAGCTAATGGATAGGATAACTGGAGAAGGGAGGACACAGTAAATGCAAGGGCAGGTTTTACCCGGCATTCTGGGTTAGGGTGATGATGATCGTAAGGATGATGTGCCTGCATAGGTGACGGGGGCAGCCATCGTGGTCGTGTGTGGGAGATGGGCTGTGGTCCGCCCTAGTCGTCTGTGAGAGAGTGGGAGCTGACTGGGCTCGGGCCAGGGCCTTTCGTGGTGCGGCTGGGACCGGCCCCTCCCCTGGAAGCGAGGCTACTGCGAGAGCCCCCGGCACAGGTGGTTCTGGTTCCTCACGGGCCACAGTGGCGGCCCCAGTGGTTGGAGATGGTGACGTGGCCCGACTCTGGTTGAACTGGAGTGGGCAGTGGAGCTGCAGGGAGAGGAAGCAGCTGCATGGGTGGGGGCCCCCGGGC